ATAGTTGCTACACAGCTTGTAAATACATCGCAAAGCAAAGGCAGCATGTCTAAAATAAGGAATGTCATAAATTATTATTGAGCTCCTTTATCTCCTTCCAGCAAAATCAACAAGTACACTTTAGCGATACTTGGCTTCAGGAGGTGTTTGGTAGAACAAAAGCCGCATTCCTCAGCTGTAGGTGGACTGGAGTATCCTCCTGTACTATTCCTGTTTGTACTTGTACATATGGGGCTGGGTCAGACGGGTGGGGCTGCTGATCCGTGTGTGCAAAGGGCTTGTGAGCGTGTAAATTGTACCTTGCAAGCCAAACGAGGATCATTCAATCAAAAGGCTGTCTGTAAATCTTCTAAATAAGTATCACAGGATCGCAGCCAAAAAGCTAAGGTACTGCAGCCCTCCTGCAACTTTAGCCAGATGAAGAGTGTTGCTTTCAAGTGGCCTTTCCAGCAGGCCGACTGAAAGCCCATTTGCACTGGGCTGCTCCCTCTACTGTAACCTGACTGCAGCCATTCTGGCCCGTTGCAGCAGGATGGGAGAGGAAGCAGGGTCGTTCTGTCAGCTCTATTGAAAGACAGGCCCCATCAAGATCATCCTCAACTGTTTCCATTCCTGGTCTTTATAAGAACTACTGTTCAACTAAGAATTGGTGCCTGAATTTACTCCCCACCCCACCCCCTTTTCCTCCATCCCTTTTCCCATTTGTGTCATGACTTCTAGGTTTTAAACCTGAAGGCAGGGACTGCCTTGCTTTTTAAATTGTCTGTGAACTTTTTAAAACAGCAGGAGCTAGCAGGTTGCAATTATATAGACTTGTTCTGGAGCCTGTTTTAATTCTTAGATCCTACATTTGATGGATCCATGTTTCTATTATCCCTGGCAACAAATGGATCCTTTCCTAAGTAAACTGATAGCTCTTTTTCCATTATCCATTTTAAACTGGAAATGTAAATCAGGCCTTTTTACATAGGAAAAATGCAAGATGTACATCAGAGCATTTGGCTAATATGATTCGTTATGCAGTTCTCTTGCTGCAGGAAGAGGCACTTAAGAAAATGGTTGTGTATGGCTCAGAATGGGTAACTCTTCCAAGATTATCATGCTTCATTATAGATGGGAAGCTGATACAGCTCCTCCACCACGTGGACATGGTACACCCAATGATTTACATTATTTCATAGAGAAAGTATTCAGACTATGCTACCAGTAGAGATCTCTGCCTTATTAGGATGAGACAGGCTCCTCAGACAGACAACATTTTTCCATGTGCCAGTAAGATTGTAGATAAGTAATGCCCACCCAAAATGTACCTTTTGTGATAGCAAAAGCTATAAGATACGACCCTTTTAAAGGGTCGAATGCTCTGTTACTAAAAGAAACGTTTTGTGATGTGGCAGAGTCATCAGACTGAGTGGTGACTGTGAAGGATTTTGACATGCTTTGGCATGTGTGACACAACATGCTTATTTGAGCCAACTGGCAGCATGCTGCTAAAAGCATTCCATGGTTTGCTGCAGAGTTAAACTCCAGAGAAGTGTCCCAGTCCTGGCCTGTATTTCTACATGGTAGGAGATGAGAGCAAACAAAAGTAGTCAGTATCAGAAACGTAGTGAATATTGAGAATTACCAGCCATTCTGAAGGCCCAGAAGTTAACGTCAAGAAAATTATGGCATGTAGCAATAAATATAAGTCAGCCAAGTGCCTTCAGTGAAAGTACAAATTCCATTCTTGTTTCGATCATGCATTGCTGAAGAACCTTTTTCAAAGCAACCGTCCTGAGTGAGATTTTTCTTTTCTTTTCTGGGTACATGTTCTCTTTTATTAACTCTTCCCTCTCATCAGGGGCAGTGCTAAACGCCTTGAAGTTCTAAGCACCTTGAAGAACCAGGGTTCTGGCCCAAAGGATAAAAAAATGCACCAATCTGCATGTGCTAATGCAAACATGGAAATATAACTGCATGATTAGAAATACATCACTATAATTTAAATGTTAAAATGGCATGCTAATTAACCTCTTGCTTGCTTTTAGAACATAACTGTACCATGTCCTAAACTGAACATGCTTAAAACTTACCCACACCCACACTTGCCTTTAGTCTTTTAGGCCCAAATCCTGATGGAGCAGATGGAATATTTAGGATCATCAAATATCTCCATGCCATCTTAACTGTTTACTAATCAATATCAAAATGAACATTACACAGTGAAAAGGGAGAATGTGGAGACATAACAGACCATATAACCAGAGCTCTTAGATTTCCAACTTAGACTCTCATAGGATTTACAGTGCCCCCCCCCCCCCCCCCAAAAAAAACCACCAACAAGCACAGCAGCACTGGGCAGAGATCTCAGCACTGGTGGATGCTGCTTGCTGCTCATGGTCCCCAGACCAGGTGAGGAGGCATAAAGAGCCACCACTGCAGGAACCCAAGGTGGATTACAGATCCTCCTCCACTGCTTCCTGTCCTCACAACAGTAGCTGGAGGTAAGTTAAACTGAGAGTTAGACTGGCTCAAGGTTTTCATGGCTGTGTGGAGACTAGAGCTACCACTAGTTAAAAAAATGTAATTTTATGAATTTGAATGTTCTAGTTTATACTGCATTTTACTGTATATTGTATGTATTAACTGTTGCTATCACCTGGAGAACTTTGGTTATTGTGCAGTATGGAAATGAAATAAATAAGTGCATGAATCTTCAAGCTGCCACAAGGCATTATGGGTTTTGAATACAAAGGAACAAGAAGCCCCTATCCTCTTCTCACTTCTGATCAAGTTTCTCCAGACTACTACAAAGCCCAAATGCTAAAGGGGACATGCACCTGCCAGAATCTGGCCACATGCATCATACAAAAGCACTCTAGAAAGATAACTGTAGAGTCAAAGAGTTCCAGATATATTCAGGCAAACCATATACACTTATATAACTTTGTCCCAATTCAGACTCTGTCTCTCATTCATCCCTTTTCTGCCAGCAAAGTGAGGGGCCAGAGCCAGTTTGGAGGAGGCCACATATCAGGAAAGTTTCTGGCACACCATTTGATATGCAAGCAGCCAATGTGACTTCTCTTCCTATTGTTAGACTCTTACTGCCTACAGTTCCCTGGGCAGGTCTCTGAACAATCAGACACACTCCGAGAAAATAGGGTGGCAGGCAATTTTGGACTCGAGACTTAATGAAAATAATCAGCAGACTATGGAAGGAAGGTGGCAGCCTCCTCCCTAGTTTAAAAGGCTGGTGAGTTCATGTTACATTCTCTATTAGTCTATAGAGATTAATAAAGTCTATAAAGTCTATGACCTATAAAGCCCTAAACGGCTTGGGACCAGAATACCTGAAGGAACATCTCCTTCCTTATACACCCTCACGGCCCTTAAGATCTGCAGGAGAGGACCTACTCCAAGAACCCTCCCTAAAGGAGGTAAAAAGGACATCTACCCGGAGTAGGGCCTTCTCTGCGGCAGATCTTAACTCCTATCCACTTTCTCCATAGCATGTATAATTTTGTACACCTCTGTCATGTCTCTCATCTTTTTTCTAGGCTAAAGATCCCAGCCATTGCAACCTTTGCTCCAGACCCGCCAACACATATTTGGCTGATTTTTTTTTTATCCAAATGTGGATCACTTAATGCTTGCTTCCACTATGATTTTACCCTACTTTTTACTCACATTTGCCCTTTTTTCTTTTAGCCACCCTAAAGAATTGGGTGTCATCAGCAAACTTGGCCAATTCACTGCTCACTCCTAATTCCACATTATTTATGAATATGCTGAAATGTGGAACCACTGTTTACATTCCTCCATTGGAAATATTTATTTCTACTCCCTGCTTTTTTTTCTTTAATTACTGATTCATAAGTAGACCTCTCCTTTATTTCAGTTAAATTTGCTGAGGAGTCCTTGATTAAAAGACTTTGTAAAAAAACACGCCTTTGGAAATCCGAATAAAAAATGTGTACTGGATGACCCCAGTCCACATTTCTATATTGTTCAATAGCTGAAGCTCTCATAACCACAGATTACATACAATATAATCTGTATTTGAATACAGATTATACCAGAAGAACATTTAAAAATTACCATATAAATTTTGAAAACAAAATTTAAAGCAAATGTATAAAGCTACAATAGCATATACAAATTAAAAGTTCTGTTTAAGCATAAGCCTCAGTGTAATAGTAAACTAATTAAATGTCCTATGGTAGAGGACAGTCGTAACCAGATATCAGAAAGATACTAAAGTTGGTGCCAGGTGGGCATAATTGAGGAGCTTGTTCCATAACTGGAGAGTCACCACTGAAAAGGCCCTTCTTGTTGACACTAATCAAGTCTCCCTTGGAGGCAAAAATCAGAGCAGGCTCAGGATCTTGATTGTTGTGTTTGGGTAGATTGCAACTGGGAGAGGCTTTCCTTCGGCTAATATAGTCCCAAGACATGTAGGGCATTGAAGCTTAAAACCAGGACTGTGAACCAGCACCACTGCAGCTTCTGAACAGTCTTCAAGGACAGCTCCACACAAAGTACATTGCAGTAATCTATTTTGGAGATTACCAGAGCATACATTACTGAAACTAGGCCATCCCCGTCAGGGTACAGATGTTGCTGGGCCACTGAGTCACATGAGTCTCAAGCAACAAAGATGACTCAAGGAGCTCCCCTAAACTATAACCTGCTCCTTCAAAGGGAGTGCAACCCCAGCTAGAACAGGTTGTGCTCCCTCTATCTGGTGAGAAGACCCACCTGCTGACAGTCTCTCAGCCTTGTCCGGATTGAGTTTCGCTTTGTTAGCCTTCATCCAGCCCATCAGGCACCAGTTTAGCACATCTACACCCTCCCCAGCTGATGATGAAAAGTATAGAGGCATGCCATCAGCATACTGATGGCAACATACTCCAAAATGCCAGACGGCCCCACTCAGCAGTTCCATGTAAATGTTAAATAGCAACAGATTACTAGTTATTATGATATATTTGATAATGAAGAAAAGAATCCCTTACTGCTTCCTTGGAACGTTGGCTCTGTATCTTGCACTGTCACATCACCACCTCTGAAACTTGAAACAGGGTGCCAGTCTGGAATGACTGCTTCAGCATGCGACTGCAACTCAAGCACATTCGTTCAAAAACAGCTGCATAGATCTGATGGGGGGGGCGGGGTCTCATCCCTTAATATATGCCCTTGAAGGCTCTTCTCCACCTATCATATAATGATACTAATTTATTAATTTGTGTTGCAACAGCTCTCTTCTGGCTGCTGCAACCAGGGCAAGTTGTATTAGTAAAGGGACCATATGTGTTTCCTTAAAATGCTTAACCCCCTACTGAATTGGCTGCACTTGTCACAGAAAAGCTGCAAGATCAACATAGCAAGGGTTCTTTCCACTGTATAACTCCATTTTGCGAAATTCTATGGTTAGGAGATAGGTCAGTTTATAGTGTTTACTTTGTAAAGTCCCTCACATCCCCCCCACCCCAGAACATTCCACAATTTTTCCATTTTGGAAAAGCATGGCCAGTGTTTTGCTAGTGATAGGTACCACAGGACAGACATTGCCCCTGGTAACTAGAGACTGCTGGAATGCATAGCCATACTCTTTTCAACTTCCTTGGGGGTATTATTCAGAACCAAACCTGTTATCTTTGTGTTCTGTTCCCAGAAGAACAAGTTGACTAGGGCAAAATTTCTGGATGTTACTCTGTGGAATCTTTAATACTAGCATATAGCTGGCTACCTAGCAATTGCAACTTTTGCTTTACATCCAGACTCATATGTTAATATTCTGACTGCATGCATCTCATCTCTTCAAGGAAGAGCATAAAATAGCAAATGGGGCATATGTTCACTTTTTGGTGTTTTCATTTTAGCACACACCCATTTCTGGGCAGCTCTGAGCCTTAGACTAATAATAGCATATGCTTCTTTAGTATTTAGTTCCCTTCTGAATTTAATACTTCTGAATTTTCCTTAAGCAGCTATTTCTGATATTAGAAAAGCAAGCAACAACATTCCCTGCAGTCCATCAAAATCGAACATTCAGGGCTGCTACACAAACCTGTTGCAAATTTTAAATCTAGAGCTTGTACTTTGTAAAGTCCTCCCAGCCCCACCCTGAAACATTCCACATTTCTCCTTCACTAAGCTTTTTACCAAGCTGCAAAGGGGTTACACCCATCACTTCCTCCAGTGTATGCCAAAGGAAAAAAAAACTTCTTTTACATTTGCTCTCTTCTAGAAGAGTTGGAAAAATCTGCCTTCTCCACTCATTATTCCTGTGAAGAGGCAACAGGGATATGAGGAGGATTCTAAACTCTACTGGCAACCTCCACAGATGCCAGAGCACAACACATACAGTTCCCTCAACATGTGAAGGAGTGGCACAACCTTGGAGATGCAAAGGCACGGTTGCTCAGCACCCTGGTACCTGTGTATCACACCCTTCCGTGTGAGTCGTTCATGAGGCCAGGTCCAGTGGAAAATCGTCCTTCACTCAACTTTTTCTACCAAAGGCACATCCTATGCTCTTCTCTCGGGGGGGCTACTGGGAACAGACATGCCAGCAACATGCCCTTTTAAACTCAGGATAACAAATTGTGGATACCAACTAAAGGTCCCTAAAGGCCCAAACTGACCCATACAAATTTTTCTTTGATCTTCCTAATAAGTTAAGTTGCCTTTCATAAAAACATATGAAAGAGTCCTGCTCTAAACCAATGACCAATTTATTCTGTATTCAATTTCCTCTCATGCGTAGCCCAACCTTCCCCAAATGCTTTTAACTATGATTCCCACCATCCCTGACCATTGCTTGGGATGGGAGTCCTCTTTCAGAACATCTGGAGAACACCCTGTTGGGGGAGACTGACCCCTAGCAGCATGCTCCTCCTAAATGTGCAGGCAAGACTTAAGAGTATTTATTTATTTATTTAAACATTTCTATGCCGCCCCATTCTCAAAAAGCCTTGGGGCGGCTTACAAAATAAATAAACAATCATATAATTAACCTTAACAATCTGGAAACATCTTGGCACAAGTATAAAAATCCAATAAATACAATCAATAATTAAGAATTAAAATAACATTTAAATAAAAAGGTCTTGGCCTGGCGCCGAAAAACAAATAACGAGGGTGCCAGGCGGACCTCTCTGGGGAGAACATTCCATAGGTAAGGTGCCACCACAGAGAAGGCCCTACTCCGGGTACTCACCCTCATAATATCTTTCACGGAGGGCTCACGGAGAAGGGTCTCTGCCACTGATCTCAGGGGGCGGGAGGGCATATATGGATGCAAGTGCTCCTTTAGATAACCAGGTCCCAAGCTGTTGAGGGCTTTATAGGGTGATAACCAACACCTTGAATTGGGCCCGGACTTCAATGGGAAGCCAGTGAAGCTGACAGAGGACTGAGGTTATATGAGAACAACTCCCAGTTCCCATCAGCAACCTGGCAGCTCTGTTTTGCACCAATTGAAGTATCCGGACCGTCTTCAAGGGTAGACCCACGCAGAGCGCATTACAGAAGTCTAATTGGGAAGTTACCAGTGCATGTGTCACTGTCACTAGGCAATCGTTCTCCAGGTAGGGCGCAGCTGATGGATCAGCCGAAGCTGAAGGAACGCGCTCCTCGCCACTGCCATCACCTGAGCTTCTAACAACAGCTCTGGGGCGAGGAGCACTCACAAGCTGCAAACCCTGTCCCTAAGAGGGAGTGCAACCCCATTCAGGACAAGGTCCAGGTCCCCCACCCCGAAGCCCGAACCACCTACCAACAGGACCTCCGTCTTGTCTGGATTGAGCTTCAGTTTATTGGCCGTCATCCAGCCCATTACCTCGGCCAGGCACTGGTTCAGTACAGCCACTGCCTCACCTGGATTGGTTGAAAATGAGAAGTAGAGCTGGGTATCATCAGCGTACTGATGATTCTGCAGCCCACACCTCCTAATGACCTCTCCCAGTGGTTTCACGGAGATGTTGAATAGCAAGGGGGACAAAATGGACCCCTGCGGAACTCCATGGCCTAACTGCCATGATGCAGAGCCATAGTCCCCCAGCACCACCTTCTGGAATCGGCCATTGAGATAGGAGCAGAACCACCACAAAGCAGTGCCTCCAACTCCCAATCCTGCTAGCCTATCCAGAAGGATACCATGGTCGATGGTATCGAAAGCTGCTAAGAGGTCCAGGAGGACCAACAGGGATGCACTCCCCCTGTCTGTCTCCCTGCACAGGTCATCATACAGGGCAACCAAGGCAGATGCAGTACCATACCTGGGTCTGAAGCCGGACTGAAATGGGTCCAGATAATCAGTCTCATCCAAGAGTGCTTGGAGTTGTCCCGCCGCCACCCACACTAACATCTTGCCCAAGAACGGGATGTTGGCCATCGGTCTGTAATTGGCGGCCATCTCTGGATCCAGGGATGCCTTCTTTAGGACTGGCCGGACTACTGCCTCCTTTAAAGGGGCAGGTACCCGGCCATCCCTTAGAGAGGCGTTGACAACCTCCAGGATCCAGGCTCCTATCCTGTGCTTGGCTTTGTTAAGTAGCCAAGATGGGCAAGGGTCCAGTAAGCAGGTGGTGGGACGTACTTGTGCAAGCACCTTGTCCACATCATCAGGCTGCAACAACTGAAACTCATCCATCAATTTTGGACCAGACGGCAACATTGGCACCTCCCCAGAAGGTTCTGAGTCACTAGTGGAGGCCAGCTCGTGACGAATCTGAGCAATTTTCTCCTTGAAATGCTTGGCGAAGTCGTCACAGCGGGCCGTCAAGGGTGGCACAAGATCTTTCTTGGGGCCTGGATGAACCAGCCCTTGTACCACCCAAAACAGCTCCACCGGATGGCATTGTGAGGAGGCAGTGGAAGCGGAGAAGAATTTCTTTTTCGCTGCCCTCACCGCCACAGCATAGGCCTGATAATGGGCTCTTAAGTGTGTTCAGTCAGATTCATCCTGTGATTTCCTCCACCTACGCTCTAGATGTCTTCCAACCCGCTTCATAGCCTGTAATTCAGGTGTATACTAGGGGGACGAACGGGCTGTGCCAGGTGAGAGAACGCTTAGGAGCGATCGTGTCAATAGCCCTGGTCATTTCCCCATTCCACAGTTCGACCAAGGCATCGACAGGAGCACCAGTCTTGTCACCGGGAAACTCCCCCAGGGCCTTCAGGAATCCATCCGGATCCATCCAGCTCCGGGGGTGGACCAACACAATCAGGTCCACACCCTTACAGAGGGAAAGGCCGCTCTCGAGCTCAAACCTCACAAGGAAGTGATCTGACCATGACAGGGGTGTCAGACACAAGTTCCTCACCCTCAGATACCTCTCTTCCTGCCCCGTCGAGAAAACCAGGTCCAGAGTGTGTCCACGTTCACGGGTCGGGCCAGTGACATGTTGAGACAGCCCCATGGCAGTCATGGAGGCCATGAAGTCCTGAGTAGCCTTCCAGGTTATCCCTATTCCTTGGTGTTCAGAGGTATACTTTCACTGAACAGTAAAGCTCTATTTAATTGTCATGCTTAATGACCAATAAATAAATATTAATTTGTCTGACCCTTTTGAAAGCAAATTCCACACACACACACACACACACACACACAGAGAGAGAGAGAGAGAGAGAGAGAGAGAGAGAGAGAGAGAGAGAGAGAGATCTGCTCAATAAATAGCTGTTAAACTAATGTTGCACACTGTTGTGACATAAAGTTTTGTTGTTATGTTTAACCCAAACATAGCCTTAATTTGATCTTGCAATGGGCAAGTTCTGCTTGTCAATGTCTTTAGGACTTTTGTAAGACTAAAGCTCTTCCTAAGGATGGGTGAAGCTGCAACTCTGCATTTGAGACCACTCACCCTGGCTATTGAGCTTATACACATTATGCTTCCTGTCCCATCCTTTTCTTCTGTCAAAAGAACAGTGGCACAATTCCAAATACTGGCATATATGCCACAGAGAGCAGTGTGTTGATACACGCTTTAGCAGAAGCCAGATTTGCTGTCTTCATGCTGGCCTTTGGCTTCTAGGAACACTCCTTTTCAGTTACGTTCAGAAAATTCTATCCAAAACTGCAAAGCAACAGGGAGAACTCCCTGCCACTATCACCCCAAATCTTCAGCTCAGATCTCTCTGGCTTTATTGTCTATAG